AGACAGTAATTTACTATATATAAGCCAAAATGTTATGTTATATATATATATATATATATATATATATATATATATTTAAAATCACCATTCGAGTTCAACAAAATAAAGTAAGTCATGTTGTTTTGCAATGACATGAGGGTGAGAATTTTCATTGTTGGTGAACTACTCCTTTAATGCATGTAGGGCTGTGCAAAAAAATCGAATGCGATTTTCATGCGCATCTCATCAGTAAAGTCGCTTCTGTGATTAGTAGTAAATCTCCAGCACGTGCTTTCAGATGGAGCGGCATTTACTATACAGTTGCCGTAGTTCACTGACAAGCTACACAAAATCGCGTTTATAATCGGCAAAGAATCGCCTGCGATTTTGAACGCGATTCCATAGTCCCAAGTTAACCAATCAATTCTGTTACTTTAATCAATTCTGTAACGTAAAGGGTCAACTCTGTTTATGCACTATTTACGCCAAAAATAATGAAATTGTTGTTTAAAATCGCAAAAACATTATTGATGCATATTTGCACCCTTTTCATATTTTAACAATGGATATTGTATATAATACATTTTTAGATTAAAAATAATTGCTCCTAGTGGACACTTTTTTTTCATTTTTAAGGTATGCATAAGTGAAATATTATCTCAGTTTCAAGTGTTGGAATGTAAAGACAGTTTGTCTAATGGAACAAGAAAGATTTATCTTTTATGATTTATTGTTATTTATACACTTTGCCTAATTTGTCTGTAACGGATTTGACAAAAATACTATAGAAATCAGTTTTGTTTTTGCTTTTTTTTTGTTAAAAGTAAACAAAGGAAGTGACTTGTGTTTGGGAAGCACTGAATTATTTGAATATGTTTTCAATAAAATACTGGAAAGAATTTCTGTTAGTGAACAGTTTTTTCATTAACTTTTTGAAATGTGAAATGCATCTCCAATTGTAGAATCACCCAGAGAACAGTATGAACATTCTGTTCATAGTCAGTGTGATGAGGTTCGAGCTGACTCGCCCAATTTTTTCCAACATGTTTAAAAACTGGAGTTCGGGGGGGTAGCCGTAAGGTACTCTGCTAGGCTTCCAAATTCTCTCATGTGATGCAGGTCGTAACCATACGAGCTTCAACAATGGACACAAGATTTCTCCTGATAAGAGAGAAAAAGCTTGCAAGCTCCAAAATAAAAACCAAAAAAGTGTGTAAAGATTTGTCAAAGATGTGGTGTCCATAAATACTGTATAAAAAAAATAAAAAAAAATAATAAAAAAAAGGGCCGGCCAGATTTTGTTGTGACTCTAGTTATTGATATAATAAATAGTCCTGCTGCTTAGAATATTATCTAGTCAGCTAACTAGTATTTAAAAGCAACCATCATTGATCCCATTTAAATCACCATTAGACAAAAAGAAACCTTGGACTGCATAGAGTTTGCAAATCAGAAAGGGGAAACGACAGAACCTGCATCAACATAAAATCTGAACCACATCGGTAGATAAGGAACATAAAAATGTTTCCTTATATACGCTTTGTTGAAAATTATTCTTATTGTCAGTAGGTCTTAGTGAAGCATGACAGATCCCCACTTACAAGGTGATCACCATTATCCAAGAGGATTTCTCAAACCATCAGAGTCATCTGAACAGAAGAGAAGTGGTGAAGCAAATCTACTCCGCAAGCAACATGCAATTTCATTTTCAAACACAGAATGTAATAGAGAGGCCAAAGTTCTGGAGTTTTTCCAAGAATTTCTACGGCAAGTCACACTTGAATCTTAGGAGTGAGATTCCGGAAGAAAACAGAGTTTCGATTGATTAGAGGGAACATGTGGCCAATAAGAAGCCCTCCTCTCCACAGAGCCTGTTGTCTTATCAGATGGCAAAAGATATTTGTTCCTACAGAAATCCAATCACACTGAAGTTAACCTTTTCCACAGTGACGTGGAAAGGGGATTTAGAATGTCATTCTGTCTTCTCTCCACTTCACAAAGCAGAGAGATCAAAAACAAAGAACATGAATGTGGAATGGTCCTACAAGTCCACATTCATGGAGTTCACCATCACCATCACTCAAGAGTAAACAAGGCATACAACACATCGGCGTTGTTCAGGAAAGGCTAAGTCTCCAGTTCCAGCCCAGAGTTCCTACCCCATTCCAGATACAGTTGTGTGAAAAAGTGTTGGCCCCCTTCCTGATTTCTTATTTTTTTGCATGTTTGTCACACTTTAATGTTTCAGATCATCAAACTAATTTAAATATTAGTAAAAGATAACACAAGTGAACACAACATGCAGT